CTCTTTAGCTAACCCCACGACTGCCCATACGCTCTCATCGGTCTCCTCCACGTCAAACTCAGAACCACACCTATATCGTAGTTTTCTGTTTGGGTCCCACTTGAAATCTGTACTGGTACGAGATGTCGTTCGTCAGTTTCCTCAGTGGCGTGCGTCTGTTCCAATAGATTCTTGGTTAGTTCATTCCCTGAGTCCTTTGGTCTTACTACTTCCCAATTGCTCATCTGATCTTACGCATAAAGCGAGTGAAGGTGGTAGTTGTTGAAAAAAGCCTGAGACAAGCTGCTGGAAGTGCCTTTCGTGACGCACACGCAATGCAATTTTCCGACTCACAAAGAAGAAGTGATTGATTGACTTAACACTGGTGTTGGAAATACTAATTTCGTTCTTTATGCCGACTGTGTGTAGAAGATTTCCAAACTAATTCCAGAGTGATGAAGGTCTCTCTCACCTTTCCAATCCTGACTGGCTTTGACATTTTCATCAGTCCCGCCCGTAGTTGAAACAATACTGTGTAGATAAGTGAAGGAAGCAAAGTCTTTTGAATTTCTCCAGGTTATTAATGATCGGTGCTGGTTATTGTTGGTTGGTTCCTTTCATCACTTCCATCTTCTATATGTTGTTCACTTGAAGTCCTGTCATCGCTGCCAGCTTGTTGGGTTTCATCTGTAAGTTTTCCAGTATGTATGACATTATACATAATTTGTCCACACATTCCAAATCTTGTAGAATCTTCTGTCAGTCCAGTCTGTTACTGTCTTCTCGCTCCCCAGTCACAGGGTGCCGCATAATCCAGTCCATCACAATTAAGAATATCATCAGTGATAGTAGTCAGACTTGTTTTCCACCTGTATTTACTTCAAAGTCTTCGCGGAGTTTTCCGTTGTAGATCCACTGGCACTTAGAACTGTCATATAGTTGCTGATGGAGTTTGACAGATTTCGAACATTCGTTAGATAGTTTGAGTCCTAGTGTAACAACAGAAGACAAGGGCCAGGCAACAGGTCGTTTATTTAGGAAATCAACACATATTTATAGCTTTTCATGTACATTATTATAGATTATTTTAAGCTAACAAACACAGCCTTCTGTTTGGTGGTTTCTCGCTGAACGTTAATCTTTCATCTCTTTGTGGCCGTTTATTGAAGTTCAGATTATCTATCTGCTAACTGTATCCGCCTACGCAAAGTCTGCTGTGATTGGCTGTTGAATTAGTCTTTGTTCTTATTTTTCTCATGACCAATATTGGGGACGTAAACATTGACGTAAATAACTGTCTACCAATTTTGGCTAGCAGCCAGCTCTCACCATACTAGTAAATAAAGATGGATGGGTTTTAGCAAAACAATTTCACCTTCGAGTCATATGAAAAAGAGAAGACGTTCAGCGAAGAGACTCTTTTCACCGGTGAATTCATTCACATAGCTGTACAATCGCATTTATATTTAATTATTTGTGTGTGTGTACATGAGGTTTGTCAAGTTTAGGTAATTGATTAGTTAATACAAGAATGATCTAATATAGAAACAAGGTTAATTAGATAGCAGCTAAAGTAAGATTGAGTTAGTAAGTTAGATGACGTAATATAATTGACTAAAATGTTTCAACTTAGGTCAGGATAGCAACAGAAGTAATTACAGGTAGAGACTAAGTAAAAGTGTAATTGAGCAAATAAGCTGGATGGCGTAACATAATTGACTAGAAACTGAGCGTTGTTCAAGTCAGTAACAGTGGTAGCGAGATGTAGAAATTAAATCGGGTGTGGGTAGAGAACAAGAAAGTTGAAAAGGTAAAATATTACAATTGAAAAGACAAAATAATACTAATGAAGAAACAGAAAAAAGATTAGGTAGAATTTACTTGTCGGCTAATAAGATAGATTACGTCCATTGCAAGTGTAGTGATTGAACAAACTTCTTCTGTATGCAGAGTTCAGGACTTAGCGAGTGAATCGCCATTGCTTCTGCAGTTTGAAGAAGTCTGATTCGTACACCTTTAGAAAGACTACTTCTTACTCTGTAGACGACTTTGAAATTTGTTTGCGGTGTAGCTTGGTGTCCGGATTCACCTTCAATGAATACAATTGACTTTTTTTTAAATAACTTGAATATTCCTATAATTTATTTGGAAAAAAAATAGTTAGGACGACCAATTGTGGTTTCAATAAATTCTTCTTCGGGATGTACAATTATAAATTCATTCATTTAAGCATACAGTAGCCAGTCAGTCAGTAAAGGCAAATAAGAATTATATCAGAAAGTGTATTGTGGAACAAGTATAAGATGGGATGGAACAATAGTCAGATAGTTTTTTAATATGCATGGTCAATGAGAACAGGAGACAAATGAGACAACAGTAATAGTGTTTAATTCAAATTAGTTTTCCAATGGACTGATTAGACCGAAGTGCTCGGTCTCAGGTGGACATGTTGGCTCTTTGTGCGCATGCTTCGACGATGTCTAGTCATGTAACTTGAAGTCATTTGGTAGATGGTGACTAGCAGTGGATTCCACCAGGATGTGCACACTTCGTCCTATTCAAGACTCGTCAGCTAGCGTGTGTACCTGCATTGCCCAGAGAGTGATGATGTTCTCAGTGGATAACGCTTTGGCGTTTGAAACTATGATCACTGGGTTCGGGCTTCGGTGGAAACAGAATCACTCACTGGGGAATGCAGGTAAATCCAGTAGCTGACGAGTCCCAAATAGGACGAAATGTGCATCCTGGTGGATTCCACTGTTAGTCACCATTCACCAAGGGACTATAATAATAACGATTGTGAAATAATGACGATGATGTGATATAAACTTGAAGGTACTTCTGGTGAATGATTATCAAATAACAATAATAGTAATTATAATAACGGTAACAATAATGATAATAATGTTCTATAGTTTGGTTTGTGAGGGTTAGTTTTGTTTTTACGAGTTGATCACGGACTGATATCAGTTAGAGAACCATTGAAAACCGGCACTGGAGTACTGGACAGCTGTTTCATCCTAGTTTGGGAAACATCGGCAGTACGAAACCACTGGGATTCGAACCCAGGACCTCCCGGTTACAAGGCAAGCTCGTATACCATTCAGCCACTGGGAATCGATTCAATAGCTCATGAATTCTAACTTCTACCAATTCGTGATTTAGTGCGACCCCAACCAATATCGTTGGTGGGACATCCATCCACACACGTGACTTCTAATTGGACCTCACTGGTCACGACTTGTCACTAGAACTCCAGGAAACTCCATCCTGTAGCAAGTCACTAGCGAGTATCAGAAGTTAGAATTCATGAGCCATTGAATCGGGTCCCAGTGGCTGAATGCTATACGAGTTAGCTTGCCTTGTAACCGGAAGGTCCCGAGTTCGAACCCCAGTTGGTTTGTACTTCCGATGATTCCGAAAACTAGGATGGAACAGCTGTCCAGTACTCCCAGCTGGTTTTCAATGGTTCTCTAATTGATATCAATCCGTGATCAACTCGTAAGAAGGCCACTAAACCAAATAACAGAGGTAATAGTACATCTACTACGGTATCAAGACAAAATTTACCAAGGAAATTTAAATGTGATGACGAATTGCTTTTGAACGCAAAGAGGTGGTTTAAACTTCGTAATTGCCAGCTGGGTCTTCCACAAACTTTAGGATACGCCTTCCCCCAAACACGTTTTACAGATAGGTTTCAAAGATCTGTTAACATCAATTTTATGTCCTGTCTGTATAATATGTTTCGCAATAGAAGAGTTAGGTCTCCTGTTCTCACCATTAATGGGTTCTGAAGATTCCATTTGTTTCTGGAGCCATTTAAGAATATGCTCTGAAGCCAGCCCTTACTTGCTGGCAGAGATCGATGAGTCCTCCTTATGTATGTGTGTCCACACGTTCATACCTTATTGTATGTAGGCCAAAGTAAACATAGCGATTGAACATACTTTATCTGTATACAAAGAGCCAGTCTTCTGGTATTGACTGCTACCGCTTCAGCTACTGTTAGAAGATGTAGTCAAGCTCCTCTAGATAGATTACCAGGAACGCGCTAAATAACCGGCAATGCCTTGTCAGGTTTTAAAGCAATTAGTTCCCTTTATGAATTTTGACAACACAATAAGAAGACGTAGTTCTGATCACACACGTACTTGTCATACACAGTTTTTATAGAATGCAAGACGGCGTGGATGATTACAATACAGGGCAGATTGTGTACGGATCAAGGTCACAAATAATGGGTAGGGAGACGCAAAAGGTGTGGGTAAGAAAGATAAAAGGAGAAAAACAAGGCAAAGAAGGGGTTGAAAATATTATGAAGTAAATTGGTCCTTGGTTCTAAATTGGATTACCGAGGCAGGTTTAAGGTGAAAACAAATGACTTTTGGACACATAAGATGGGTTTAAGTCATTTTATTGCTAAGGCTTCAATGAATTTAAGTATGTGGCCTAACCTTGTTTTATATATCGGCTTAAAGGCATTGTTGAAATCAACCTTATGACCCATCTCTATAATGTGTTTCGACATAGATGATGTTGGACACCTATTTCCGGGGTCGATTGTGTCTGGCGAGGTTAGGCCACATACTTAAATTCATTGAAGCCTTAGCAATAAAATGACTTAAACCTATCTTATGTGTCCAAAAGTCATTTGTTTTCACCTTAAACCTGCCTCGGTAATCCAATTTAGAACCAAGGACCAATTTACTTCATAATATTTTCAACCCCTTCTTTGCCTTGTTTTTCTCCTTTTATCTTTCTTACCCACACCTTTTGCGTCTCCCTACCCATTATTTGTGACCTTGATCCGTACACAATCTGCCCTGTATTGTAATTATCCACGCCGTCTTGCATTCTATAAAAACTGTGTATGACAAGTACTCGTGTGTGATCAGAATGTTCGAAATGTGTTGCGCAAATACATTACACCTTTCAGATAAACTACGTCTTCTTATTGTGTTGTCAGGTTTTATTGAGTGTCCATTTTTATTTTATGTTTCTTCTTTCAAATATAATAGTATCCAAAACGTGGATGTCCACCAGGTCACAATGCATATTCACCAATAGTACCATTTTTCCCGGTCATTGAAAATATTGCCTATTTTATCGATTCGCGAAGTCTTGGCTACGATTATGATGATTATAAAGCAGGCAGTATGATTATTGTTCCAGGTAAGTGCAAATATCAACTCTGTAAGCGTATATAAAAATTTTATCGATCTTGTCTACAACTTAGTTAAATGATCATATTGTTTTCAAAATGAACATCTCATGTGACACAGTCTGAATTTCTTGGTAGAAAATTAAGTGAGAAGTGAATTTTAAATTTATACTAACAATTATCAGTATTTTCACGTATTATTTTTTGTAGGGATTTTGTTTGATTGATCTGATGCTCACTCGCGACTGGCCGTATTCATGTAGGTAGTTACCGGAGGTTCTAATGGGAATTCGTGACCAGTAGGATAGAGCAGGTTGAAGGTGAGGCAGTAACTGATCGAAGAAGACATTGTGAAGTGGTCGCGCTATGTCATGAATTGGTAGAAGTTAGAATTCATGGGCTGGCTGGCCACTGGATTGGGTCCCAGTGGCTCGCTCGCCTTGTAACGGAAAGTCGTGGGTTCGAACCATGGTGGTGGGTGTGTACTGCTGAAGAGACCCAAACTAGGACCGAGGAAATAGCTCTCCAGTACCCCTAGCTACTGGTTTTCCAATAGTTCTCTAACTGATGTCAACTCATGATGAAATCCTCCAACCAGTTATTAGTATAATTGTTTATTCACTCTAAATTGATATAACATTTCTAGACTGGATGTAGAACTCCGCCAGCCTCCCCCTTCTCCACCCTAAACAAGCTAGATTCAGGAGAAGTGAATCAAATTGCAACTCCACGCATCATCGTCATCATCTTCATCGAACAGAGGATTGAACAGCAGCCAGATTTCAGTCTACCTCAATTTCATTGACCTTGAAAACACCTTCGACATTGTCGACCACGAAGTAATTTGGAAATCTACTTGAACACTATGGAGTGACCCAAACACCTTTATCAACCTCATTTAACAGCTATATGATGATGTTTACAGGATTTCATCATGAGCTGACATTAGTTAGAGAACCATTGGAAAACCTGGGAGTACTGGACAGCTGTTTCGTCCTAGTTTGGGACCCTTCGGCAGTACGCACCCGCCAGGATTCGAACCCAGGACCTTCTAGTTACAAGGCGACCGAGCTCGTAGACCATTAAGCCACTGGGACCCAATCCAGTGGCCCATGAATTCTAACTTCTGCCAATTCACGAGATAGCGCGACCCATAGCCAATGTCTTCGGCGAGTATTTGTCCTCACGCCCGACCTGCTGCACCCTACTGGTCACTGATGATGTCACATGTGAAGCGATCAACAACGGAAAATTTAGAGGAGTCTTTGAAGTGAAGACAGGAGTAAGATAAGTCTGTTTACCTATTATCACCGATGATATCCCTGGACTGGATTATACGTCAGACTGTGCGGAGCCAGAAGACAGCAATACGTTCGATCGATAAGAAGAATCTAGATGATCTAGACTTTGCAGATTATTTATGTCTAATGTCACACAAACTCGAGGAATTGCAGGCGTTAAGAAACAACAAGCTGGTAGAAGAGGCAGGCAGTAAAGACAGGACTTCAAGTGATGAACATAGAGGAGATAGAGGTGATGAAAGTAACCAGACAACAGCAACAACTAACACCGATTACTATTGAGGGGAGAAATTTTAAAGACGTCAGCTACTTCACTGATCCGTTCAAGCACCATCGTTTCAACTACAGGCAACAGCCCGGATGAACATGTCAAAGTCAGTCAGGATCGGAAAGGCAAGACGGACCTTCACCAGTCTGAAATCAGTTGGGAAATGGGAAATCCGCAACATAAAGAATGAAATTCGGATTTTTAACTCCAGTGTTCACTCATTTCTTGTATGTGGGTCAGAAAGTTGCACTACACGTGCATCACGAAAACAATTTCTAACAGGCAACTGCAGAATTTTATCAACATCTATCTTCAATTGACTTTACAGTGAAGATCAAATGGCCAGCTAGAAAGAATTAGAAATGGGAAACTCTATCAACGAATCAATCAATAACCTCTTGCTTAACAAATATTCCGAGAGAAATAGAGATAGATCTGGGACACAATCAGGAGTCTGTCAAATGACATAGTACGTCAGGTTATAGCTGGACAAGAAATCCGAGTTGGAAACGACGATTTGGGCTTTGGTCCGACAATGATATGAAAGAGATCGTGTGAGGAGGAGATGGAAGGGGATGGGCAATTTTAGAGGTGAAGAGAATGAAATGAAGATGTGGTGCTGAAGCTCTTTGTTTCACTTGGGACTAAAGGGGATAATTATGATAAAAATGCTGTTAGTGTTCTAGCAAGAAGTCATAACCAGCTGAGTCCAACAGGTCGGCTAAGAGATCAGTTACTCAAGTATGATATTTACCAGTGACTGAGCAAATGGCAGTCACGAATTAGTCAAATTAGGAATTCATGAGCCACTGGATTTCGTCCCAGTGGTTAGATGGTCTACGAGCTCGCCTTGTAACCCGAGGGTCCTGGGTTCGAGCCCCAGTGGATGAGTACTACTGCAGAGTCCCAGATTAGGACAAAACAGTTGTCCAGTACTTCCTGGTGTGGTTTTCCGATGGTTGTCTAACTCATATCAGTCTGTGATTAAACCTGTAACCAATGAAATTCCTGCAAACCAACAATTCACAATTTTTATCCTATCACAAATAGAAATAAATCAGAGTATCGAATATGGTGTGCGTCGGTTTCACAGTTGTTAGGATGCTCATCGACCATGCACATGGTCCGGGGTTCGATCCCCGGCCGACGCACTCCTTTACCCCGCTAAGCCAGTAATAAAAGCTGGTAAAGAGGAAACGTTGAGCATGAGGCTAGCAACCCCATCCTGTAAAAATAAACACCGCTACAGAAACTTCAAGCCTCTAGCTTGAAGCCCTATGTTCCTCTGGGAACGTGAAGGAATAAAAAAAATCGAATATGGTTGTTTCGACTTTAGGCTATTGTTTAGCATCTATCGATCAGTTATGATCTATTCATAACAGCTAATATCAGACTAAAGAGAATTTCTGTGTGCAACGGTGACATGTCGCATAGATCACTAATCAATACTGCACGCCTGATCTTTAGGCTTCCATCCACCCACCTAGATACTTCGACTTCACTCTGTGGACTATTTTGTATGAAATACCCTCTTAATACAAAGTAGATCATCCCCATAAACTGTCTGTTACGGCAGACGTTGGGAAGAGTTAGGTCTTTTTCTCCTAATGCTGTCTTATTTGGCCACGCATCTTCATTGCTTCTACAAGGTGGGTCCTATTTACTGCCTTCATGCAGCTGGAGTTTCTCACACAGAAGTGAAAGGACGAACATGTACGTCTGGTGCTGACAAATGGACATGCTGGTCTACTTAGAGGAACTGGAAAACTCTGATTCCAATCCTACAGTGTTAGTGTTGGTGAACATTGAATAAGAAACATATGGTTTGTGTACTTGGACGGATCTCTATTTTTGCTGGAGACAACAATGGTGGACTTGGCTTAGTCGTACGCCGTTTGGCAGAAGACTGGAAAAGAACCATCAAAAGTATTATTGTGATCTTTTTTTTAAATATCTTTTTTCCTTCACGTTCTCCTGTGAAACATAGGGCTTCAAGCTAGTGGTTTGAAGTTTCTGTAGCAGTGCCTATTTTACAGGATAGGGTTGCTAGCCTCATGTTCAACCTTTCCTCTTCACCAGCATTATTTCTGGCTTAGCGAGGTAAAGGAGTGCGTCGGCCGGGGATCGAACCCCGGACCATACGAATGGTTGGCGGACGTCTTAACCACTATGCCACCGACGCACATTGTGATCTATGCTGATGTTTATTCATTGACTTTGCGGTGTAATAACCCTGTAATCCTGGTTCATTGTCGGTGAAGAAATAAACAATCCTCGAATTACCAATTTATTTTCTGATATTCTCGAGTTGGTCTTATGACATCAGAGTTAGGCTCAGCATCTGCGGGTTAACAGTCTTGAGAGCTGGCACCTTGGCATCTAGTTTACATGAGCTCCAGAATTCGAAAGGATCGTATGGCGTATAAACCTGTTTTCGGTTATCAGACTGTTTGCGAACGTAGCTCCTGACACTGCTCTACTGCCTTGTGGATGAGAATTCAAGTAGGAAGTTTGAGGGAAGGGTTAGCCGCTTAAGACAAACACCTGCTTTGGTCTCAGCGTCCGGGCAGTATCACAGCCCTAGCACAAACTACGAGCACATCAAGAGCATTGAATAGATGTTTCTTCCTACTTTGGAATACGTCATCACTGCATATCGATAACTCCACAAGGTAGCGAACTCAGGAGCTTCGAGTCACGTAGTGAACACCTTAACATTGAACGAATGAGTTTTTGAATTTAGTGACTTATCATTCGTAACTTTTTTCATATCGTGATATACCTCCGTCTCTATTAAATGGTTAGGACTCTCGCCGACCATGCACATGGTCCGGGGTTCGATCCCCTGCCGGCGCACACCCGATATCTATGGTATGCCTGAATTTGGGCAACCGATATCCATGCTGAAAATTCCACACTTGTACTGAAAATACGGTGTGGAATCAAGCTGTAAATCAAAAAAAAATAATATGAAAGAAAACAAAACATGTAGTTCATCGAAAAGTACCTTTTCGGCGGCGAATTGATTCACACTTAGCAGTACAATCGCTGTACAATTATGTAGGAGTTCTAAAAATTACAGATGTTATAAGGAGTTAGAAAAAAACAAGTAAACGAGCATCAAGTCAGCAGAAGTCAACCCGGTTGTTACCATGACAGTAAAAGTGGTTGGATGATTTTCTTTTGTATGTGCAGCTGCTACTGAGGCGTACTCTCAATGTAAAATTTACTTTCAGTGACATCATCTACAGACAAAAGAACGGTATTGCATTGGGATCTCCCTTGGGCTGCATGGCTAGCCTTGAGAACGGCTCACTGAAGTCGCGCACTGAAAATTCGAAATTCTACAGACCATACGTAGATGACATTTTCGTAGTTTACAACAACAGTTACGACCAAAGTCAGTTGCTACAAATATTCAACAACTGCCATCCGGTAATAAAATTCACTCTGGAAATGGAATGAGAATCCAAAATTCCTTTTCTTGATGTGCAAACTAATAAGACGACTTGACGGAATCTTAGGAAGATCAGTTCATAGAAAACCTACTTAGAACAATAAACTAACAAGTTTCTTCAGTTGGGTACGTATTGAGCGGAAACGATATCAGATTAAATCCTGTTCTGATGCCCTTGCAGCACAACTGGATCTTCTGAAAGAAAACTTCATCCAAAATGGATACTCAACCAAGATTCATCGACAAGTAAGTATGCCAAACCAAAAGTCCAGAGGAACGAAACATCACTTATTTCAAAAAAGAAACTCTACATGAACTTGGATTTCAAGGGAGATTTAGCAAGGGATATTCCGAAGAGAAGGATCACATCATCTTGGAGAAGAAAATTCTCCCTGCAGTAACGCTAAGAATAGCGTTCTCCAGTCGTTCATTGATCTGCAGAAGCCAAAAGGACAAGATCCCTTATCCGGCCACTTTATTGTGCATACATCAGTTCACCTATTGCTGTGGAGCCAGGTACATTGGTCTAAGGGTTCAAGAAGACTATCCTGCATGGCCATAGATAGATAACAGTGGTTGCATAAGGAGTGCGATAATCGAATATCTCGTCAAAACTGGTCATTCTATCTCAGCAAACACCTCCTCCTTCAAAGTAATCTACAAAGTGAAGAATAACCTACCAAGAGCAATTCGCTTTCATCTCCTTTGTATTGCTGAAGTCTTAACCATTCATATATATGTAAAACTTGGGCACTGTGGTAGTAATTCCATATTAGTTTGTTTATTGGATGTATCACACAGTGAAACAGTTTAATTTACTGAATGACGTTTCAAACACAATTTATCACCGTTCATAGTCATATCAATTATAATCACACGACTTTGAGACTTGAGTTTTATAGCTTTCTTTGTTTTCTCCTATTTGTCGTCGTTGGGGTAGTAGAATTTTCCAGATGTCCGTGTGGACAGGTGTTGAATCATTCCTATCACACGTGTTTGCAGTTGATTCGATAAATAAAGTTTCTGTTATCAATCTCTCCCTCCACCCTGTAACTTTCATCCTAAGGTTTCCGAAACCTTACGGAAACCTTACGCTGGAGAATTCTTAACAAGGCAGGAATAAAAGCAGCTGGCATTCAAACCCACAAACTCAATTGGAAACAAGCTTTGTCGGTTAAAGGATCAGTTCTGTGGAGCCAATTAAACAGAACAATTTAGTTTGTCTAATACCCTGCTGGAATGATTGTCAGATCAAATACGTAGGCCAAACTAGTAGAACAGGCACTGTCACACTAACCGAACATCAAAACCTAGCAAAATGTAGATCAGTTGACCCGAATAAAATAAGAAATCTAGAGAACAGTTCAGCTATAGCACCACATGCATTCACACACAACCATACAATAGGATGGGATAGGATGACAGTTCTAAAATCTAATGTCACAGGGTATAGGGAGAGATTGATAACAGAAGCTTTGTTTATCGAATCAACTATAAACACATGTAATAGGAATGATTCAGCACCTGTCCGGCTGTGCATCTGGAAAATTCTACTACCCCTACGACGACAAATAGGAGAGAACAAAGGAAACTATAAAACTCAAGTTTCGAAGTCGTGTGATTACAATTGATATGATTATGAACAATAAATTTTGTTCGAAACATTGTCATCCAGTAAATAATACTGTTTCACTCTGTGTGATACATCTAATAAACAAACTAATATGGAATTTTAATCATTCAGTTTGAAAAACCAGAGTTATGTATACAAAAGAAAACCATCCAGCTACTTCTGTCATCATGGTAACAATCTAATTCCGTATAACATTTGTAATTTTTATAACTCTTACATAATTGTACAGCGATTGTACTGCTAAGTGTGAATGAATTTGCCGCTGAAAAGAGACTCTTCACTAAACTACGTGTTTTGTTTTCATCTATCTCTGAATGGAGCATTATTGATGAATATGAAAGAAGATGGCGAAGCATTATTTTTTTTACTCACAGAATGATTCTTTTTTAATTGAATTTGAGATTTTCTCGTCGATTGATTGGACCGAAGTGCTCGGTCTCAAGTTGACATGTTGGCTTCTTGTTCAGATGCTTCGACGATGTCTGAGCATTTAATTAGAATTTAATTTGTAGATGGTGACTAGCAGTGGAATCCAGGATAACGCGCATTTCGTCCTATTTGGGACTCGTCCATCAAGCTGGATGTACCTGCATTTCCCAGTGAGTGATGATGTTCCCACTGATGCTCGAAACCAGTGCTTTGGCGTTGGAAACTAAGGGCACTGGGTTCGAGCATCACTGGGAACATCATCACTCACTGGGAAATGCAGGTACATCCAGCTGGCGGACGAGTCCCAAATAGGACGAAATGCGCATCCTGGATTCTACTGCTAGTCACCATCTACAAATTAAATTCTAGAATGACTCTTTCTCTATCTTTCTTTCCCTGTGTCTCTCTTTCTTTGTATTGCTGATTTAGCTGAATTCACTAACATGAACTTGGCTTCAATGAACGCAAGTACTCCAGTATGGGATCCAACTGTCATTGCAACAATTGTCTTCTCTATTATTGTCTTTTTAATACTGACATTATTTATTGTATTGAGTATAGTTTACAAGAAGAAGAAGAACAAGTTTACATATTCTTACTACGACTACTATTCACCAATTGATAATACTGAACAACAACAGCCACAGATTGCAGTGAATAAAAGTTGGAGAAGAGCACCGCATTATTTCATATCGGGTGAAAATTATCGAAATCCACCGCCGCGACCACCACCGCCGTATACTGGTCAACATGAAAAAACACGTCTCCTGGATGATATAGCCTAGAATTTTAGTAAATTCAGTGATTTATGTCTTTTTATCAGACTTCAGTAAGACAGACTGGTAAAAAATTAGAAACTGCATCAAAGACTACTAATGATGGTGATGATAAAGTCGCCTCATGTGTGTGCATGTCTGTGTGGGTATTTCTGTTGATTTTACCGTCTATTTATATTAGTCAGAGATAATTCCTTAGCTAATATTAATTCATACTTTTAATGTTTGTCTTTCATTCACTGGAATGTGCCTGTTATAAATTACAATTCATTTCATTTCTTCTGTTATTCTAACTGAAAAAAATGATAATCATAATAATAATTTGCTTAATTCCAAAACAGTACTTGTGATACAGATTGGAATTCTCAGCATTTCACGCTACAATATTGCATCTAGTAATCGAAAAACGCGTCAAGGTCAGGGTCTCTATCACAACTTCATCGACTTTGAAAAGGCCTTCGATAGCACAGCGTAGATTGAGAGGTGATTTGGCAACTACTTCGCTACTACGGGGTGCCACCGACAATTATACATCTCATCCAACAGTTGTATGACAATGCTGGATGCCAAGTAATCCACAACGGGAAACGTGCGGAATCCTTCGAAGTAAGGACAGGAGTAAGACAAACTGGCTGCCTACTATCGCCAATGATTTTCCTGATTGCAGTAGACTGGATAATGCGACAAACAGCGGGCAATGAGGAAACAGGCATAAAATGGACTCACACAAAAAACTTGGAGGATCTGGACTTCGCGCCTGATGATATATGTCTGATTTCCCACAAACTGGAAGATATGCAAGCGAAAAGCAACAAGTTGGCAGAAGAAGCATCAAAGATAGGAAGGAATTCAGGTGAACATAGAGAAAACAGAGGTGATGAAGATTCCTGAGCAACACAACCAACAGCAACAACAACAACAGACAACGATCAGCATAAATGGGAGGAACCTGAAAGAAACAACCTCTTTTACCTACCGATCTGGGAAGCATCGTTTCAACTACAGGCGGATCGAACTGACGAGGATATCAAAGCAAGAATCGGAAAAGCAAGACAAGCTTTCATTACTCTCAAGTCTGTGTGGAGGTTAACAGCACTCAGCATCAAAAATAAGATCCGGATTTTCTACCCCAATTTGAAGTCAGTGCTACTATACGGATCAGAGACTTGCACTGTGCGTCATAAAGAGCACCTCAAACAAACTACACAACTTCATTAACAGTTGTCTTCGCTCAATAGCAGTCAAGATCAGATGGCCAGAAAAGACCAGCAATAGGGATCTCTGGGAGCGAACCAACCCACCAGGAACCGACTGTGCAACAAATAAGCAGGAGGAAATGGAGGTGGATTGGCTATACTCTGAGGAAACCATCAAGTGACATCACTAGACAAGCCATTGCTCCAGTGGAACCCAAAAGGGAGGCGGCGAGTTGGTCGTCATTGCAAGGGTGACTTGGAGGAGGTCATGTGAAGAGGAGATGAAAGCGTGTGGGCAGACTTGGAGGCAGGTGAAAACTCTAGCAGAGAACCGAACGCAATGGAGACGCACGGCTGAAGCCCTATGTTCCTCTAGGAATTAAAGGAAATAATAATAATTGCATCCAGTTAGTACATTATCAATAAATAAAATTCTACATAGATAGATTAAGGAAATCTCAGTTCATTATGACAATAACATATTGGCAAATCGGTAGCAAAGCCAAAATTGAACAGAGTGTTTGAAGGTGTTAGAAAAGTAGATACTAGCATATTTACTGGTGTAAGCGGTAACACAAAAAGGTCGACATATACAGAGTGTGAAAGAAGGAAGAAGAATGTTTTAAGTAGAGTGTGTAAGGAAGAAAGAAACAAAGCAGCACATAACGGAAAAAAGAGAGAGAGAAAAGGAAAAGAAAGAAAGAAAACGTTGTACCTATAAATGATATGAGTTGGAAAGACGAGATCCAGTTGTTCTACTGACTATTTAATAAGTTATAGGTATCACGCCTAATGCTTTCTTTATAGCACAGAACATGAGCCAAATAGGGTATGGTTGAGTTTTTGTACTTGTTAGTGCAAGCATATAGTTTTCTATATAGGCTTCTGGTTTTGCCTGATGAGATACAAGGGGAGAGTTGTGAGTGAAGAGGGTGGCGTGAGTTAGATAAAATGGATTTGGCCCATTTTTCACATGAGTCCGAGTGCCTGTCAACCAGAAAATTAAGAAGCTGGTTAAGTGGCACATCGCTTACCCTGCTGACAACCTTTAACACCTTGCGTAAAATGTTATAGTCTTTCTTCAGTAGCCCTGGAAAAACTAAGGGGGAACAATAGAGAATAATAGGCAGAATGCGAAAGTTAACGAATTGTAGGAGTAAGGGTTGGGTTATACCAGAATGTCTTAACTTCTTGATGTAGAAGGTAAGACGGAATATTTTCTTAGAAATCGCCAAGATATGAGACGACCAGGAGAGATCAGTAGATAGAATGACGCCTAGATATTTCATTTCCGACTTGGTTTCTATTTCAATGCCATCTATGTCACACACCTCGTGAGAGCCATTCAGTTTGTTTAGGTCGGATTTATGCCTTAAGGTGAAACTGAATGTTTGGCATTTGGAGGGGTTTAAGGTAAGACCGTTTTCCTTGTACCACTGGCTGATTTCTGACAGAAAGCCATTTAGTTTAGAGCAGTCACTTTGACATTTGACAAGCAAAGATACTGTCAGGTCGTCAGCATATTTGACAAAATTAATGTCATTTGAAGATGGTAAGTGATGTAGAAAGAAAGAAAAGAGAAGTGGGGAGAGTACAGCACCTTGGGGGACACCAACTTCAGTGAGCACAACAGAGGAGGATTTACCTTTGTATACGGTGTACTGCATTCTGTTAGAGAAGTAGGAATGCAACCAGTTAGTGACCCAGGACTGAGTTTGTGTCATAGAGAGCTTATTTAGCAAGAGATATCTAGGTACAGAGTTGAAAGCAGAAGTGAAGTCGAGAAACGTGCAGCGGACGTATTTGGCATCTTCATCTAATGATGAGACGATACTTTTGTGTAAGACTGCTGCAGCGTCTAAAGTGCTCCTACCCTGTCTGTAGGCGAATTGTCTGAGGTCTTCAAAGCTTTTAAGGGAGGGTTCAAGTTTAAGAAGTACTAGTTTTTCCATAAGCTTTAGAAGTATTTAGCTTTAGATGTATTTACATAAAAAAGCATGAAAAAACACTAAATAGGGTATTTTTCTCTGATATGGGATAAAAATATGTCCCATTTATAATGGGAATTGTCATTTTTTAAATTAAACCAATTTCTATACATTTATACATCCGTTTATTGCTCTTATCCTATTTTTTAATCTCCCCAGGGAACCCTCTATTGAATTAGTATGAGTGCCTGTTGTGGGATCGACGAAATTATCCGAGTGGTTAACTTGATTGTATATCTATCCCAAATCCGATAATCACTTATATCCTGCCCATTCATCCGTGTGTATAGTAGTGCCAGGCAAAACGGGTCTTTAAATAATAGGCAGAAGAGTATCAGCACTCCTGTCTGGAATAAGTTCAATAAAATCCTTTCTGAATTTGGGTGTCATAAATTCCCAATACCCAAACTTTGTTGGCTCCAATTCCATTATGGGTAAATTTTTGATAGAGTCTCACAGTGTTATACAGTAATATTTACTGATGACGTTTCGAGCACAATTTATTGCTCATAATCATATCAAGTTGATATGATTATGAGCAATAAATTGTGCTCGAAACGTCATCAGTAAATATTACTGTATAACACTGTGAGACTCTATCAAAATAAAAAAATTTACCCATAATGGAATTACACTCTACCACAGTGCCCAAGTTTTATTCTTATATCTTTGTTGGCTCTAGCACGTGCATGATTGTATTTCTTCTTTATAAGCACTGTTTCGTCGATGTGAACGATAACACCGACTCCTCCCAACACTTGTGTAATATTGTTCATTTTCCATGATGCTAAATCTCGACAAAATTGAAACCACTGCACAGTAGACGTCAACGTATTTTATGTCTGAACGGCAGTTGACCTCATTTCGGACTTCAAAATCCAGTAATGGCAAAGAAACAGTATATTCGCCAAAGAAATTTCCTAGAAAACAATTAACTAAGAGTGTCACTTACCAGTACGAACACTTGTTCGTTTCCTACACTCCGTACATTTAAATATATCTATCCATCAATAACCTGTGAATACAGTTGCAGGCTCATTGAAGCACCACAGCTACATATACGAGAACGTCCTATCAATCCATTATCCAGACAGTATTGAAATACGTGATCTGGGTGAAATTTGCACCTGAGCAGATGAACAGCGTTCATTTTTGCGCTAGAATAATCGTAGGATCCTTCAACCAACCACTAGCATGCATTCAAGGCCATTTGAGCGTTCGCACTCCTAGGACGCTATTCTTGAACTTCGCCGAAATATCAATTTTTTTAAAAGAAATGCTGAAAATTAGGATCATGCTTTTGTTACCCTTTTTTTAACTACTACCATAAACTAACTTATAATTGAAGTTGTATCCATTGGTTACGCATTGTTTATGTTAAAAGTGCAATGGATGCGAAGAGATAAATGAACAGGAAACTGTGCAATAATAATTGTTTTTATTTATCAGCAAGGTCAATCTTTAACCTTGAAAACACTGACCTAGCAGATTATATTCAAAGCTTTATTTAGTGTTTGTCACATTGCGAAAAGCTGTTTTATCCTTATTTACTATTCAAAAGTTCTCTTTTATTTTCACTGAAGTTTTAAAAGGAGTGCGCTTGATCGCAGGAAGTTTTCAAGTATCGTAATGTTCGAATTCTATCAAGGCGAATGATTTATGCTTAATGTTGCACAAACTCGAAACGATACGAGCGAAGACCAAGAGACTGGCAGAAGAAGTAGCTAGGGCAGACAGGAATTCGAGTGGACATAGGGAAGACGGAGGTGGGGGAGATAACCAACCAACCAAATAACAACAACAACAAAACGCACCAATAACTATC